AAAAGCCATCTATCCCACTGCAACTCAGAAACTCAGCAGAAACTGTGGGCAGGCCATGTTCCCCTGGCCATTTTCCCCAGGCCATGTTTGGATCCAGCACTACCTGGATCCAAATGAGCACAATGGTATTTGTGCTTTCACAGGCTGAATTGTATTGTTCATAATAAGTAGGTTGGAATGGTGTAACTAAATCAGGGGGAGGGTAAAGATATACTTTTTGATTTTAAGAGAGGAGATGCTATATAGATTGGAGAGAAAGAGAGCTACAAAGTCCAGATCCCCAAAGTTAGTAGGAACTATAAATAAATGGTACCCAAGCACTCAAAAAGTGAGCATTTAAACATTTGATATGAAACATCAAATATATTAATTTTGATCTAAACTTGTAAAAAACCCTTTAACAGATAATGACCATAGTGATATAAAGTAGACATTATCAACCTTCTGCGCTCCATTTATTTTGGACTCTAACTGGAAAAGCTGTATTGACTTAAAATATATATATATATAACATTTTAGATGAACACATAAAAAGCTTTTAAAACCCCATTGTTATCCAAAATCCAGAGAAGTCAATATGTACGTTTAACTGTCAAAACAGTGTATCATAGGGCTCTTTTCTGTATTTCAAATACAAAAAAATATCTTTAACAGGCCAATTAACAGAAGTGTCCAAAATCTGGGACCCATGACCCAAGGGAATGACATTTGGGGATGTTTTGGCTGCTTCAGTGCTACTGGGCTGCTGCTGTGATCATATTATCTTCATTATGTTATTATCAATATTCTCTGACAGTTTCCAAGCCAGTCTTGCAATCCCTTACTCACTCAGTAGAGCCACTTACCTGCCTTCCGGAAATGACACTATCTAGCATACTTCACCTACCTATGCTGCTCCCAGCCACACAGCTTCCCCAACCCATCTCCCAATACCTTTCCCAAATCACAAAGCACTTCTTGCATATCCCTGATCTGTGCTGCCCCCTATGAGCCATCTCTGACCTTCGTGTACACCCCCAAGCACCCTTCCCAAGTCATACCACGTCCCTGCATAGCATCCCTGCTCAGCATGGTATATCTCACACACCCCTGCAATCTCCATGCATTCTTATTGACCTGTGCCAAAACTGAGCCCTCTACTTGACCCACGTGGCATCTGTTACACACACCCATGATTCCCCACACCCTTGAACAAGCAGCAGTTATCTGTAATTTCTAATAAATTCTAAGACATACATAGATACAAAAACATTTTAAGATAGAGAACCTACAGAATTACACCATCCCAATCTCCCCAGTTCAACAAATTTCAATTGGAAAATAAAAATAAAAATAAAAATAAAACCCACATCAGGCTTCAGGCAGTGCAGGCACACACAGCTGGCTTGAAGTTTGAACACGTACATTTTATTTAACTTGTAAGTCATTCCATCAAGTTAGCATCAGTAAAAACACCCTGAAACAAACCTTGCTTCTGAATCCTGGAAGCCAAGCACAGAAAAGACAGTCCGTTCTTGTGAAGGCAAGAATCCAACAGAAGCAATAATGGTATGTTAGATCTTCCTTTCTATATCTTTACCATGTCTACATTCTGGCTTTCTTGCATAGTTTCTCAATTATATGCTTTTTGAAGCAATCAATGTACAGAATTTTTCAAAATCTTCCCACTTTTTTTTTTAACAAATACATTTTACTGATTTTTTTTAAAAAAAAGATTTTGTCTTGTCAGGTTTTCAGAGTTGGGATTAATGGATTAGTACAAGTGGAAACTGTGTTCAGACTTAGCCAACTCATTGCCAGAAAGATAGCAACAAATTGGAAAATGTCTAGAGAAGCACAACAAAAACTGTTAAGAATGTTGAAGGATTGAACTGAGAAGAAAGATTATAAAAAGCAAAACAAATAGCTTAGCTGAGAGATAGCTAGAAAGAAAGAACAAGAGAGTGGTCTTCAAATAGCTGACTTGTTGAAAATATCATAGAACAAGTGCCATTTTCAAGAAGAATGTCATTTGACAAAATTTACAGATATCTAGATTGTTTAAAGAGTCTAATTAAACTTACTGTCAGAAAAAGATGCTAAGTTGTATCAGTACCTAAAAAGAACCCCTGGGGGTATTTTTAAGAAAAAGCTATATGACATGCTCTAGTAGCTGTCTGTGTGATGTGAACTGAACTTATAATTTGAAACACACCTTAAGATTTCTTGCAATCTGGTGAGGTCAAGACAATGAGCTTCTCAACCCCATTGGCAAATCGTGTTGCCACATATTATGCCACATAGACAATCTCTGACACAAAATTTTTTTCTTGACTTACAATGTTGGCTTTAATTAGATTCAGGCAAAAAAAACACCCCACAATCCCCATAAAACTCTATGGATTGAAAAGCTAGATATGGAAGAAACAGGACACAAATATTACCAATGTTATGGCACTATGGAAGACTTTGAAGGGTACCATGGATGGCCAGGAAAGCCAGCAACTGGCTTCTAGAAGAACTCAACCCAGGAATCTCCCTGAGATCATTAATGAGACTTCAACTACACTGCTCAAAAAAATAAAGGGAACACTTAAACAACACAATGTAACTCCAAGTCAATCATACTTCTGTGAAATCAAACTGTCCACTTAGGTAGCAACACTGATTGACCATCAATTTCACATGCTGTTGTGCAAATGGAATAGACAACAGGTGGAAAGCATAAGCAGTTAGCAAGACATCCCCAATACAGGAGTGGTTCTGCAGGTGGTGACCACAGACCACTTCTTAGTTCCTATGCTTTCTGGCTGATGGTTTGGTCACTTTTGAATGCTGGCAGTGCTTTCACTCTAGTGGTAGCATGAGACAGAGTCTACAACCCACACAAGTGGCTCAGGTAGTGCAGCTCATCCAGGATGGCACATCAATGCGGAGCTGTAGCAAGAAGGTTTGCTGTGTCTGTCAGCGTAGTGTCCAGAGCATGGAGGCACTACCGGGAGACGTGGAGGAGGCAGTAGGAGGGCAACAACCAGCATCAGGATCGCTACCTCTGCCTTTGTGCAAGGAGGGACAGGAGGAGCACTGCCAGAGCCCTGCAAAATGACCTCCAGCAGGCCACAAATGTTCATGTGGCTGCTCAAATGGTCAGAAACAGACTCCATGAGGGTGGTATGAGGGCCCGACATCCACAGGTGGGTATTGTGCTTACAGCCCAACACCGTGCAGGACGTTTGGCATTTGCCAGAGAACACCAAGATTGGCAAATTCGACAGCAGGTTCACACTGAGCACGTGACAGATGTGACAGGGTCTGGAGACACCATGGAGAACATTCTGCTACCTGCAACATCTCCAGCATGACCAGTTTGGCAGTGGGTCAGCAATGGTGTGGGATGGCATTTCTTTAGGGGGCCACACAACCCTCCATGTGCTTGCCAGAGGTAGCCTGACTGCCATTAGGTACTGGGATGAGATCCTCAGATCCCTTGTGAGACCATATGATGGTGCGGTTGGCCCTGGGTTCTTCCTAATGCAAGACAATGCTAGACCTCATATGGCTGGAGTGTGTCAGCAGTTCCTGCAAGACGAAGGCATTGATGCTATGGACTGGCCCACCTGTTCCCCAGACCTGAATCCAATTGAGCACATCTGGGACATCATGTCTCACTCCATCCACCAATGTTGCACCACAGACTGTCCAGGAGTTGGGGGATGCTTTAGTCCAGGTGTGGGAGGAGATCCCTCAGGAGACCATCCACCACCTCATCAGGAGCATGCCCAGGCATTGTAGGGAGGTCATACAGGCAGGTGGAGGCCACACACACTACTGAGCCTCATTTTGACTTGTTTTAAGGATGTTACATCAAAGTTGGGTCAGCCTGTAGTGTTTTTTTCCACTTTAATTTTGAGTGTAACTCTAAATCCAGACCTCCATGGGTTGCTAAATTTGATTTCCATTGATAATTTTTGTGTTATTTTGTTGTCAGCACATTCAATTATGTAATGAACAATGTATTTAAAAAGAATATTTCATTCATTCAGATCTAGGATGTCTTATTTTTGTGTTCCCTTAATTTTTTGAGCAGTGTATTATATTGTAATAGATGGGCATCTATTGCATTATGCCAAATCCAAAATGTTGAAGGAGAAAGAGAAAGAGAATGATCAATGGAAAGACGGATAAATTTGACTACAGCAGCAATGAAATCTGAGATACTTAAAAGGCTTAGTGGAGAGAAGCCATGCATGTGGTCACAAAGAGTCAGCACTAATCTGATATTCGAAGTAAATACTTGAAGATTAATTTAGCTTCAGGATTCATGATTAAATTTGGAGGCTGCCCAATTCCAGACAACTCTGAACAACTTACATTATGAAATAAAGGACAATAAAAACAGAAAGAAAAATAATAAATCTCCTTAGATTATTACTTATTTAAAGATATCTCTTTGGGTTTTTTTACAATATAAAATAGACGATAAAAACAAAAAGAAAAATAATAAATCTCCTAAGATTATTGCTTATTTTAAGATGTCTCTTTAATTTATTACTTAATAATAATTTAAATGAATGTACATGCTACCAAATAACTATATTCAGTAGTTTTGGCAGGAACACTCTTCAAAATGTTCATCAAGTAAATTATTCCTGCTTGTTGGGAAATAGTGTATAACTTTTCATTATAACTACTGTATCACTGAGCATTAATTTTACCTCTGGCCATCGGTTGGAACAAAGAATTCAGTTCCACATAACATTCCAGTGCCAATTGGAAATCTTTAGAAACCTTTCTACATGTTATTATCGGCTTATATGAACAATTTAACATAAGAGAAATGAACTGAAGCAGGTTTTATTTTCAAAGAGAAAGAACAGCTGTTTCCTGCAAATTCAAAGTCCAATACATTTTTGTGCAACTGAATTGCTTTCATATTTCTTCCCCAATGAATTCTTTCATCCTCCCATTTCCATCCTGAGAAAGCTGGTAAAATCAACTCTGACAATGTTCGGAAATCTTACCTGGTGAGGTTCAATGCCCATTTCTGTCAAAGCTGATCGGAAAAACATTTTGGCCGGTTTTCCCACCACCTCAGCTTGAATATCACAGGCATACTAGGCAATAGGACAAAAATAACACTGTTAACTTTCAAAACAAAAGTGTCTGATTTATACACACTGCTTGCTTCCTAGTTATCGACATTCAAATGACGGTAACATGCTAAACCATAGCTTAAAGTAAGAATACTTTTTGTAGAAATATCAAGAATAATCTTCAGGGCTTATGTCCAGTTTTTAAAGGTGTGCTTTTGAAGATACAAGATGGGTTCCACAGAAGTGCATAGGGAATTTATTAGAGGGGGGAAAGTTCTGCTGTTTTTTTATATAGCCTAGTATGTTCAACAACCTTGGTCTAAACAGAAGACCAGGAGAACAACTTTGGGAACAAGTAGAGCCATTTTAATATTTCAAATTAAGCATCAAAGTTCCAGTCCCAATTGGGGTCATAAGCTCCAGATGCCCTGTTCATATTGTATGTACACAACCAAACCCACTTGGAAAAAAGTTGGATAGTCTGCTATGCAGAATTTCACTGTAAACATCAGCCCTCTGAACTGTGGTTGGCTACACACATCCCACAAAGGAAGATGATTAAGACCATGAGATAGTCTGCCAAAGACTCATCTTGGCAAAAAAAAAAATTGCCACGTTTTGAATTAGTTGAAAAATATTGGTTTAAAAAGAAAAGATCTTATCTCTTTTTTCTGACTAGGTCCTGTGTCATATGGTAATTTGGTAATATATTTTGCAATAGGCAAATGTTTAATGGTATATAAATGTTTTAATAAAATAAACTAATATATGAGTGACCCTTTTGCTGGAATAAAGAACATACTAATACTAAAACAATAAAATACCTCCAGTGCTTTCATATATGCTCCAACATCAAGTTTTAGTCCATCTGTTTCTTTATAATAGCGTCTGAAATTGAAAATATGCAGCTTTAAAATGCAGTATTTCCAATCTTTTGATCTTTTGATCCATATAACATTCTGCTTTTGCTCTCTGCCCCCAAATGCAATAGGTTTAGCAATAAATACATAGCTTTAAATAGAACATAAACAAAATCTTAATAGATAAATGTGACAAAATGCTGAATAGAATAAATATGTATGTATGTAACCAAAACAACACATTATTCATTACCTTAATTGTGATAAGCTATCAAATTATTCATTATGCTTTATTAATGAAATATATTTGTTTTACCATGTTTGTTAAATATTTTTGCTTTTAAATTACTAAAGAAAAAAATTAGATAATGAAAGTTATCACTTATTATGGATGAAGGGCCATCTTTATTTTATTTATTATTTACAGTAATCTATGGAAAATAGATTAAACATAAAATAAACCAGTATGCTTTTCAATTAAAGTAACCTTAATTATTAAAATCAATGATAATAGTACTCATTCACTTAGTTAACTTACTACTTCAACTAGGCAAATATTATTTTTCCTGCATCACAAATTAAAAAAGATTGATTAATTTTTCTTGATGATAGATCTATGTTGTCTTATCCAACTGACCTCTATGGCACACATATTTTTATAGAAGTTGGGGTGTAGTCCAGAGAGTTAGCATTTTTTCCAAATTTGCTGCTACTAATACATATTCTTAGCAATATTATCTTCTCTTTTTTATAAATGGCTTTGATCATAGCACATATCACTGACAGAATCAAACCAGTATTGCAAAACATCTTGGACTCACTACCTAAGATGGCAGGCTCATTCTAATCCCAATTTCTTTGGAAATGCTAAGGGGGAATTTATTCCAAATAACTATGTTTGGTGAAGAAGCTCAGCAGCTGACTTTTTTTTTAAGCAAACATTCAAAATATGATTCAGTAGATCTCTTTCTTTCTTTTTATTAGAACAATAAAAAGAAAGAACTGTACAATTCAAGTGTTTTTTTTAACATTCCTAAACAAATAGGTAAGGAGCAAAAATGTATAGGATGGGCAGTCACATAAGATTTTATGCTATATCCTTCTGCCATTTTCGATTAATCAGCACAGCCTCTCTTTAAAATGACCACTTGACCTTTGCTAGAACAGCCATTAACCTTCTATAGTCTAGCGTAAACAGCTTAATTTTCTGACAGTGGCATGACAGAGGAAATTACAAAGCCAATTCCCACTCTCAACCCAAAACAGATGCTAAATGTAAATCACTCCCTTTTCACAAGGACAGCATTCTGCTTCAGTCATTCTAATGTTCTAGCTTTCAAGAGCATACACTAAAACTTTAGAGGAAAAAATTCTGTTTCTTTTTTCCTAAAGAAAGTTAAAGAAATGAACATTATTAACACTGTTATACTTTACATAATATTAGTAACTCATGAGAAAAGTGGCTGAAAAGGCATGAAATAGAAGGCAAAATCCACACCATCAACACTCACAAGTCTAAGACAGATTACAGTTGTGATCTGTATAAGATCTTACAAGAGGAAGCTGATGCCCATTATTAAATATATTCCACTTAGTATGCTTCACATAGTTAATGCAAACATGATCCCTACTTTCTTCTTACATCTCTGTATGAAGCAATTAGTAGAAGTACAGCTGTTATATGGTACAGTTAACATGAAGAAAGTTGTAAGAACATCAGTGAGATTTAATATATTGTACATCTTACTCAGAAATCCTACCAAGTTTAAGAGTGTTTGACTGGTGGGGGGGGAATGCGCATCTGTCAAAACTTTTAAATTGGGTCACAAATAGTTTTTAGGGGGGATGTCTGTCATAACTTCAAACAGTTATTAAGTGGCCAGTTGTAAGTCGAGGACTACCTGTACATTGACAAAAGAAATATAGGCGCACAATAAAAAAAGAGGAAGAAAAAAGATGTTGAGGAAAATATGACAAAGAACATTAACATTCATAATAAAAAATACTTTAAATAGGTTCAGAAAAGAAAATTGGCAAAGGAGATTATACCACTATTTGTTTTATCTTACTAGCCCTTCTTTTAGTTTGACACAAGGACAGCATGAGTTGCCCTACTATTGGACACCATGAACCAACCGTTCAGAAAGATGGGAAGCCTGGGACAAAATTCTTTTCTAGTGCTCTCTTGATTGACATACAGATGTCAAAACTGACTAAAGAAAGAGAAAGTCAATTTATCCTTTACATCTGTCTTCAGCACCAAAACTGTTGGGCAGTTGAGAGATATCCTTGGACCACCTTACAAACTTGCAAGAAGGCAGTTAGGATTTGAAAAAATTATGGACATCAAGCAAACATTACTATTTTTAAAAAAGATTTTCAGAGCTCTACTTATTAACTTACCCTCTTCCCAAAGACAGCAGAACTGGATTTTCCAGGCTTATGAGAATTTGGAAAGCATCATTCAGATTTTTGTAAGAAAAGTTGTCTGCTGCATCCCCAATTACTACACAGTTAGGATTTGTTTTATCGATATCGGCAAATTCAGGAATGAGATCTAAGGAGTAATAAACATATATTTATGTATTTCATGACAACTTATCCTTATTTCCAAGTTCATATTAACCTAGGCCTATTGAGCTAAAGCAGCTCAAACATTACCAGAACTGCATATTCTCACCTTCAAATGCTACTGTATAAATGTTACTTTATAAATCAAAACCTCACTTGATTTTGTCCAGTATAGCCAATACAGTATCGTCCACATCCATAAAAGAGTTATTAACAGGCCTCAGACAATCTAATTTTTTTTTATAAATAAATGTAAAACAAATGTATAGAAAGAGTAGAGAGAGCATGTTCAGCAGGGTCTAAATACAGGCTAATTGATAAGAAATGAAAAATGCATGCAATGTATCTCCATCCTGAATACTTTGTCTATCGGAGATGACCAGGATGAGCCTGAGGGAGGAGTCAAACTCATCATCAGGTTGAAATTTCTATGCCCCTGGAGATCTAAGTCCATTGACTCTTATCTGGTGCCAATTCTCCTGGAATATTAGCAGTGCAGATTCTTGTAAATAGGTAGCATAAATTAAACCATTCATACTTTTTTGGATTCTATCCTGACTTCTTGCACCTAACATTGCCATTTCCAAAAATCTTGCCCAGAATCCAGAAGCATTTTGAAAATGGCTTTGATAGCTTGGAAATCAAATAAATGTGTCTAAGAGATGGTTAAGGAGACAACTGTCTTTTAATGTCAGCCTGATATCTTGTGGTTGCAGTTCAACATGACAAGAATGAAGCTTAAACCAAGAAGAGGATACATCTACTCCCTCAGGTCATGTTTCTGAACTTCAAGATAACTAGTTGCATGTGAACTACGCAGAATTGATAGTGCCTGGAAGCCTAAAAAGAAGCCTGAGTTTTTAAAAAAATATTTCAAGTAAAAAACATTTTGAAAGATTTTCTTAGAATGCTAACATTGTCCAAGACTAAGCAGAATAAAATTGCTTGTAAATTACAAGAAATCTGGTGAAGGTTTTATTTTCATTGTTTCCCAGTAGGAAAGAAAAGAAAACAACCTTAGGATTGCTTCCACATTTGTTTGAAATAAAAAAAGGAAAAGGGCATATTTTATGAATCTGGAAACAAGTGTCAGGTATGGCAGTAGATTGTTTATGTTGTGTATCAGTTTTAGTGTGAAGATACTATGATCAGGTAAGCAATTTTACTCCTATCCTGTGCTAGCACATTCACGAAGATTTTAGAAGACATTAAACCAAAATGCAAATTACTTAGTTCAGTTAAATTAACAAACCAAGAAATTGGAACACATGCCAAGATTTTCAATGAAAAGTTGGCACAAGATGGGAGGTAGGAACGTTCACCCTATACTCAGCTTCATGACTTCAGAAAACTTCAGATTATAAAAGATCAGATGTTCATCCTAATTGGGCCATTTTATTATCCAGTTACCACCTCATCTGCTCACTTTCATTAATAATTTGGGATTTTTGTTTTCTTTTGACTTCCAGTTGTCTTAATCTAATCATTCATCCAAAACTAATTTAGTCTGTGAAACTAACACATTTCATTCCTGAATTATACACATCTAAAGTGAACTTATATTAGGTTGAAATTACTTAATTGCAGTCTACTTTATATGTAAAATTTTAAATATTAGCAAACCATCATGCACAAGAAGATGAGGTCTCAGTTTGCGCTCCTTCAGAATTCGACATACTGCAGGTGCTGGAGCAGTGACTTCATTTACCGCAATGTCAAACCCCAAATGCTGCAACTTTTTTACAAATTTGTCCCTCGTAGCTTGAGTTTCATTAGTGCAAAACTGCAGCTTTAGACCAGATGCCTTGATCCTGTGACAGTAAAATGGTATATTATTAAGCTAATTAGTTATACAGAATGTAGGATTTAAATGAATATTTCTGTCAAAGCTTATAGTTATAAGTGTATGTTGAAAAGAATTACATGAAATGTAAATCACAATACCATGAGTAATTTACATTTATGTTTTATAATTATAAAACAAGATTAACATATTTATAATGCAATATATGTTGATTGTCTGTCACCAATAGTTAGAGTTCAAGAAAAAATGTGTTTCAGTACAAACACTATAATTAATAATACCACTTAAGTAGTAAGATGTCAAATTTTAAAAACAAAAACAACCTCATTAATTCCATTTACTTATTTTTTTTCTAATAAATTAAGTATTTTAATATGTTTACAATTTGAAGACTCCAATTCAAACAGCACCATTTGTAATTTTTTAATTTCATTTTATTCTGCGATGCCTCAAGGACTTATAATGGAATCTCCACCCCACCCCACCCCGAGAAATAAGTGCAAATACATCTATTCTTTTCTGTATTACTGAAATTGCTGAACATAAAGCAACATTCTGTTTTCCAGAATAGTATCATATTGCCAGACAGATATGTAAATCCCAAATGCTATCCATCTTCAATTTAGGAACTCCTTCCAGTTGGCCATATATTCATACACACAAATACAATTTAGGCAACAGTAATCCTAAAAGAACTCGATAGTCAAAGGCATGAGACAAAAATGGCAATCAGAATCCATATCCTATTTAATTTAATTATGGTTAAATTTGCATTTCAAAGTAAGACTATCGAGTTCCCACCAAATGCTTTCGATCATAACTCCTTTCATCAAAGCTGGATTTATCCAATGATATAATTATAAAAGTTATGGTCTAATACAGGTGTGTCAAATTCATGTCACCACAGAGTCATCACATGATGTATTGCGACCTTTTTTCCCCTTTGCTAAAATGAGAGTGGGCATGACCACCACATGATACATCCGGGCCGAGTTTGGCACCCCTGGTCTAATACATCTGGATATTATTCTTGTTTTATTTCTTTAAAATAATTTTAAATATATATTTGTGCTACTAGGGACCTGTTTCAAAAAAGCACTAAGAAAATAAAATGATATTATACACTCTATCAAATAAATCAAAATATACATTAAACCATATTTGTGGGTTATTATGATTTTATACTATCTGCGATACTTTCCAAATCAACCCTCCACAAGTACTTCTTTAAAAATGTAGCTCCACAGTAGAAAAAAAACAGTTGATGGTCATTTAAAATACTAAAACATGTCATCTCCAGATTCCTTCTTTTTGTATTATTTGTCTTTCCTAATCACAGGTATGTGAATTATCCATTACAGTTAGTGGTTTAATTGCCCTTCATAAAGATAACTATTCTATTTTAAATTAGGCAGTTAATATATTATAACTAATAGCATCTACTTGTATATTATAAATATATGTTCACTGATTGGAGCAACGAATGTGAGAATTAGTCATGAGCTAATGAAGCAATTGAATAAAGAAGGATAACGTGTACCCAGGGAATAATTATTGTTAATGAATTATGATGTGACCTTCTCAGAACAATGAACAATTGGAGCAACAGTTAAAATGACAGGACTTCACATCTGTTATTCCAAATATAGTGTAAACTGGAATATATGCACAATCAACATACACATACATGCCCAGCCTCACACATACTCACAAACAAAACAAAGGTGCTAAGTGGAATTATATGCAGTTCAAAGTACTTCTCAACCTCACATAAAAAACAAATTAGATTTTCATATATTGGGGAAAAAATACTGTATGTGAAATTTTGCCTGGATTCTATGGTCACCTGATTATTTTTTAAACTTAAGTGAGTACAAAGAAACTTGGGCCAAATGCAATCTTGTCAGATGATATGTCTCCATTGGTTGAATTACCCTGATAATTTGCTGTCTCAGGTAGAAAACTCCCATTTTATTTCAGATAAGAAGAGTAGGGCTGAAAATTGCACGTTGAATCCCTCCAAACCTTTAGTTCAAATATAGTCTGCTCAATGTTTTTATCGCTATTCTTACATGCATTTTTAAGCTTTCAATATACTTTTTCATCTCAGGCTGTTGTGTATTATTTAGGACTTCTTGCACCTTTTTAATCTTTTGTAAAACTAGGAATGAACTGACAAAAAAGCAACCCAGGACTCAATCAAGGACATCCATTATAAGGGCAGTCCTGATCCTATTATTGTTTTAGTTGAGCCATGGTGGTGAAATGGTTAGAATGCAGTATTGCATGTTGACTCTGCCCACAGCCAGGAGTTTGATCCTCACCGGTTCAAGGTTGACTCAGCTTTCCATCCTCCCAAGGTCTGTAAAATAAAGACTCAGATTGTTGGGGACAATATGATGACTTGGTAAACCCCTTAGAGCAGGGGTCTCCAACCTTGGCAACTTTAAGACTTGTGGACTTCAACTCCCAGAGTTCCTCAGCCAGCTTTGCAGACCTCTGCCTTAGAGAATGCTGTAAAGCACTTACTACACAGTAAGTCTAAGTGCTTTTAAGACCAAAGATGTGCATAGGCTAGGGTCACATATCATAATAAGCTATAATTGATTTTTTAAATCTATTTTGTGAACACCCTCAATGCATACACAATGTTTTATCCTTCATGTGTTATGAAAGTAGCCAATTTAAGCAAATTATGGCAATACAAACCATGGCTTAGTATTTATTTGTTCAGCCACAGGGAAATGAAGGCAAATGAAATAAACACAATTTGTCATGCTAATATGAACACAAACTCTAATATTCAGTCTTCAAATTTCCAAATAAATTCACCTTAGCTGTTAAGTCTAAATCTTTTCATCTTGCTTTGGCAAAGGAGCAACAGCAGCAATTTAGAAAGCGACAGTGCTTTAACATGATCCTTTGCTATCTCTCTTCCCCATCTGCCAATTTTTGTCACAACCTTTATATCATGCAGCATGAGAGGGCAAAAACAGGGTTCATATTTAACATGCCTATAAGCTGACCCCCCAAAAATGTTGGCAAGGGCAGTTGGCTTAGACTGTGCAAGGTCACTGAGGATGTCCAATAATTGTCCTAACACTTTACCTGTTATGGCACAATAATGAGAGTTTTTTTTTCATTATTTTCGGGTGAATGAACCTGGCAGATGCTGACAGCCAGCAGATGTGTAAAGTTCGAGGTGATTTGTAAGGGACCAGCTCATCTGACGCACAGTAATTGCATTGTGGGACACTGTCACTCAGATTCTTGTCCTGTTCTGTCAGGATGAGGTAAAGGTCAGTTCAAAGAACTGGTAAAACATCAGAGGCAGCTCCTCGCTGAAATTTAAAATATTTTCATATATCTCCTTCATGCCCATCCCAAAACATTAAGGAAATCAAAACTGGGGCCTCTCTTACTGGTGGAAATTGTGCTTGGAAGAAGTTAAGTGATTTTGCAATAGCTTTATCTATTGTTTTCAATGTTGCTTGCAAATGTTTTGCTTTTAACTAATCTCTCCATTTACTCTCTGAACCGAGACACTTCCATTTTCTTCTTGATAAGCTACCTTTTCCTTAAGGAATTCAGAATAAGATATTGGGATTAGGAAGCAGACTTTCAAATAGAGAGGTACTTTTGGTTAAAAGGAATCTCACTACCTCCACTTTCCATTTATTTGCTTATTTTAAAAATCGCTATCCTAGGTGCATATGCATTACTCAAAGTCTGATATTCCCTCTCATATGCTATTAGCTTGCATGTGACAGACATTCAGCGAAACCCAGCACTCAGGATTCCATGACAGTTGTGCAGATACCCTCCTTAAATATAGAAACCCAATCCACTAGTTTTCCAAGCTTGAGCTGAAGGCAAACTATAGTAGTAGTAATAATTACTACACACTGCAATATAGCATAGCATACAGTATGTATTACTGTATAAAGATTTCTGAAAGTTTACAGTTTATAGAAACGTTTCCTAAAGTTTTGACCTCCCAGGAGATCTTATTAGTTTTTTTAAAAAAGTGTAGCAAACTTGCAAAGTACGTTCTTCAATTATCAGAATTTTTGAGTGATTCAGGATGCTATATAAATATATATAATTCCATATATAGTTCCATATAAATTGGGAAGTTAACCAAAAAATGTTAAGCCAAAAGAGCCATTCTCATTCATTCTCCCCCTCTCACTCTCCCTCTCCCTCCCTCTCTCTCAAAAAATAGAGAAGGGTCCTGATTTTTATGTATTAATCTTCATTATGCAGTTATCACCCGAATCCTTCTAGAATGATGTCACTAAACAACACACACATTTACAAAAGCAGCCAGAAAAAGCTAAGCCAGAGTTTGGATATAGCCATGACAATATAAACAAATAACTTATTTATCATGTCTGAAGCATGCAAATGAAACCAACCACATTTGATTTGGCCATTTTGCTCTTACACCAGCTGAAAAGGCTTTTTTCCCCCAATTGAATCTCTGTTGCAGCTTCAGGAGATGTTTCACATTCTATCATGGACCATGTTTCTGATATTCTAAACTATGATTTTGCTTTGCTTATAATTTTATACAGTTTTATGCTTCAAAATTTTCTTGTACCTCTGTGTTGGAATCATTAGTTTTGTATTTACTAAATCTAATAAATAATAAATAAAATAAGCAAATAGCATAAATTGCTGGAAGATGTCATGCCTCTGGTGAAGACTGACTCTGAGGAAGAGGAGGAACAGCCAACAGGGAGTGGAAGTGTGGCTCCAGAGGTGGTGGAGGAGGCTGGGGAAGGGCAGAGGCTGGCTGAGCAGTCAGAGGAAGACCCAGGCCCATCCCCTATCCATCCTAGGGCACGCAGGGAGGAGAGGATCAGGGTAAAACGTGGTCTACTCAGGAGGAGAGGGCCATGATCCTCTTCATAGGTCGCAGGTGTGAGATCTGCATAAGAATTTGGACCGACACTGGAGACAAATTAGTGTTTTATTCTAGGAGTTCCCACTCAGGTCCGTTCA